TGCCTTTGAGTGGGCCTACAGGCTGTTTGGAACTCGAACGATCTGCAGATTCCCACCCGTGGTCAAGTGCGCATCCTGCAGGCATCCAATCAATCATGGCATCGCCATGAGTATCCACATGCACTTTCCTCAGCGTCGAGCCTTCTTGTGCTACGGCTGGCTCGTTATGCGCTGCCGCACAAGGACCGCACTCCGGTTGAGTTCTGGCGGCAGGTGTCCCTACCCGTCTTCCGGAGGTCACGACTTGCAGATTCATACCAGGCCGTTGCTGCCATAATATATTATGGACCGCGGCCTACTTAAGGACACTACCGCTGCCTTCTCAGACGTTCAGACCACTGGTTGATCAGAACCAATCTGCTCAGCGAGCTGCTCCTGACGCTGCGCATGCTGTGGTTTCGGAGGGCTCAGACATGTTGAGCATAGCTGGAGCCAGCAGCCTTCGCGAACCTTGCAGCGATTTTCGGATGCCAGCCAACAGATAGATGCAATCAGCGCTGAAGAGCGCGGATTCTTCATCGCATGTCGACCGAAGAAGTTCCAAGCGGGGGCGGCTCCTCTGTCGGATGCTCTCAGCACCAATGATGGTTCGCAGGGATCACAGCGTTTTGGCGAGCGAGAACCGAAGTTGGCGCCATATGCGGGTCATGCCGCATACACGGGTGGCACGGGAAAAGGACGCTCGGCCAGGAAACGACAGGACCGCCGACGGGTAGGCGCTTGAGGATCATGGCAGCCCCGCTAGTATGAGAGCCGAGAATCGAAGGATATAGAGCATCTTCGGGCGTGCATGAGCTTCAACGGATTGCCCTTCAGCATGAAGACGCCATCAACGTGCTAAACTACGAGTCTTGTGTCCTTCACATGCGGCTTTGGTTCCCACCTCCATTATCAAGGGAGTTTACGCCCTAGCTGGCCATTCGAGGCAAGCGGGTTGATGAAACAGTACATCTCTATCCCCGCACTCACCGTAGCACAGCAAGGGGAAAAACGAAGGCAACAACAAAAACAACACCCCTGCTTTCAAATGGTTCCGCAACCCTGGGCCTCTGGCCCTGAACTCATTCGGTTCGAGTTGCCCGCGGCAGGAGGGTTCGAGCCCCAGCTGGTCGGAAGGCAATCGCAGGGATGGAGCCAGAAGTCATTCTCCAGCGTCGTCGTTGGATCATCCAGAACCTGAGAATTCTGACATTGAAGCCCTGAACGAAATCGCATCTTCTGTCTGCGCATTGCCGCGCACGCGGTGGCACAACAAATCAACGCCAGCCACACGCCATGAGCTGGGTAACGTGAAAAGAAATGTCAGATGCGAGGATGATGTTTTTTTTGCACAAGGCAGCTATTCTCAGCTTCTTGTCTCGGCAGTTGTCCGAACTCGGTCCTGCCATGTGGGAGATATGATACAAGCAGCTGGCAGAATGGCAGAATCCTAGCACACTGGTCATCACTGCACCGGACCGCGATACAGCCCGAACTCCTCAAATGTAAAGGCCCGAAGCAGGGACACACACGCATGCGATGTCTCATGAGAAAGACCCCCTACAAGAGCTAAAGTACACTGCTCCAGAGACACCACCATCCCTACCAAGCGGCCAGCGGTTGTACTTGCGGGAGATTCTTCTCTTCCTCCGTCTCTCCTTCCTCGTAGGGAGTCATCAAAGCAGCCATTGAATCACATTTCGGCAATTGCTGAGTTCGTTCTTGCTTCATGCCACAAGCAGAAGGGTCATGCCAGAATCCGTTCTGCTTCAGGTCGGACACACTCCTCTTCCGTCCAGGCCCGTGCGCTCTGAATCTGCCCCGAAACCAAGGCTCCTCTGCTTTTTCTTCCTGCTTGGTCACGTTGGGCGCTGGGCAACTGGGAGTCGAAACAGTGGCCACCACCTCCACAGGCAGGTCTTCGGTTTTTGTTGGATCAGTTCGCGAGCATAAATTGAAACGTAGGTACGGCTTCGTGGCATAACGCAAGCTGGCCAACGAATGTTTAGAACGGTCATAATACTATCAGAACGACTCTTTAGCCGGCTGGAACTGAGCCGTCCATGTAGGAGTTGCTGTCATGATGTTGGGTCTTGAGCTCGTGAAGTTACGAAGACCGATGCACATCTGCTGTGTTGCTTCCGCAGGGAGGATGCAAGCTTGGACGTCGATTCCGGCGACAGGTGCATAGGTTGAGCAACCGCACAAATGTGCTCAGCACCACACCACAAGTGATGGCAAACACCATCACCACCACCAACCGCGACGACACATCGAGCATTTCACGCTAGCGGAATTGAGATATAAGGCGGCCGACCTTTGTAGTGTTCGTGCCAGACCAGCGGCGCACCCACCAGTGGGGCTCGAAGCGCAGTGCCTGCCAGTCCTTGTGTCGCAGTTCCGCTGGGGCGCTTGGGGCTTTGCGACCGCGGATTACGAGTCAGATTGAGGGCGGCGTCAAATTTTGGAGCCTTTCGCACGCAGGTGTCTGCGTTTGATAGCGTGACATCGACGAGACTCCGGCACTTTGACAGCCAGACGGCAAACAGCTGGGATGTGTTCACATGGAGCACCATGCAGAACATCCACAGACGTTGCGGGGATCGCAGATCGCACACTACATCATTATTCTACGCTCTTAAACCTTAAACTCCATCCTCATGAGCAACCCTGAAATCGTTCAATCCTCAATCCATACCCTTGGCTCTGCTCTGCGCTCAGCCATCATCCCAGACATGCAAAGCCCTCCGCACAAAGGGCAAGGTGACCAGCAAAGACGAATATGAAAGACTACACCAGTGTAGATAACCTGTGCCGGAGCACGTTGGAAGTACGTCTGCATCTGCAGATGTCGAAAAACCAAACAAAACGTGCCACAAAAATAGCTTTCTGTACTCATGAAGACTGAAACACAACGGAGACCAGGCAGGCATGTGACGAGGCCCGGTCGTCGCTTCCCATGCGCAAGCTGGGAGTTCGTGTCCTGGATCTTCGCCTCTATCTTAAGCACGAATCTTCCCCGTCTGACCCACGCTCTCAACGCTTTGCAAGGATTTTCGTCTGCATCTTCACTTCCTGCTTTTGGGGCACCGCTCCCTTGTAGAATGAGAACATGGTACATACGTGACAGGGGTCCAGGGGTCTGGAGTGCGGTTTTGGACTCAAACGCAAAGAACTACATTAGGACGCCCAACTATAGAGCTTCGACCTCGTTGTATATGAAGGTGGAGCGGAAGACATCGGCGCCCACGTCACCGCTGAGGCAAGCAACCACGCCACCTTAGCAAGATCTAGTTTATTCTAGTTTCGTGTTAGCTTCAACTTTCTGACGTTTAGGATTTGGGGTGTTTCGGGCTTCTTTGCACTCCCGGTGGCCGTGCAACTCCACATAGGCCAATGTCTGATTCTCGAAGTCCTGCAGGCATATCACCAAGCATGCTCGAAGAGTCGACGAGCCCCAGTCATGCAACAATTGTATAGAGTGAATTAATCTAAACTGACAGCCATCGTGTTCAGTATGTTCAGTTGCAGGACTTTGGGGTCTCCGGGATTTGGCTAGCTTCGGCCAGATAATCGTTGCTGATGTAGGTTCGGGCTTCAGGCACGATTTCACCTCCAGTTCCCAAGCTCGAACCTCACGTGCTTCTTTGCGGTGCCTGACCTGGGATGTTGAAGCCAGTCTCCACTTCGAAGGCCCCCCAATCACCCCTCCCGAAACAACTTTACGGCCAGGCACCTGAATCTGTGAATCAGCGTCAATACGTGGGTTGTGAAGAAAAATCTATACGCCTGGTTTTTTGGCCAACCGCAGACGTAAAGTCGACTCAAACGAGAGGGGAAGTGACTCGGAAACAACACTTCAAACGATATGAGACTGAGCAGAAAGGAAACAACACTACACGGGAATGTAAGACGCAATCGAGAAGCACATTGAACTCATGCAAAAGCGAGTTGGAGAAGAACACTTCAAGTGAGATGGACATGAGATGAACTGAAGGGAAATGAAGTGGAGGCGGCAAAGAAATGAAAGGGACACGATACGCAGAGGAGGCAAACCCAAAAGGATACTGAAACGGATACATGCAGCAGACATGGGAGAGAAACTGAGAGCGGAAATGACACGGGAAAGTCAATCGAATCTTGCAAGTGCGAGCAGGCATGGCACCGAAAATCAGGGCGGAATTGAGATACCCTGATCTACTGGCTGTTTGAATGCTGGAAGACCAGTCTGAACACGACTGAAATGGCGGGAGTAGCTTGCTAGGCCGGAAGGTTGGAGAGCGATCCACCATCTCATAACTTTCTCAAGCTTCCGAAAGCAGGATGAAGGACCAATTTTCCCCAGTCAAGAACCAAGGGGCGAGCATCTCAACCCCATTGTCCGTTCCGAGTTCTCAGCACGTTTCCGTTCCCGTTTCAGCTCCCAATTCCGTTCCAGCAACCATCTCACTTCGCATGTGGTTCGAACTTATGCTGTTCCCACTCGCCTGATCTCTATAATTACACTCTCAGCACTGTTCAAGGTCTACGAGGTTTGTTTTGCATGCGTCAAAGGCTTGGGAAATTTCGGTTCCAGCAACGTTTCGGGCCCTTGTTTTGCGAAAACGACGACCTCGGATCGAAACAGCGCGCACCACTCTGCCACAACCCTGCCAGCTCCCTCTCACCCTTGCTTCCGATTCAAGGATTCAAGGCTTATAGGATTGTTTTCTGGTGAAGGATCCAATCTAATTAGGGCTTGCGAGTGTTCAACCCCACATGCCCCGTTCCGAAAACCCTCGCCCCACCCAGGACCCTCCTTGCCACCTTGCGCCTTCAGCAGGACCCAGTCGCCGGCCGTGCAAACCGAATGCCGAGTGGGATGTGCTCGCATCAGCCAGAAGGATTCCTGTGCAAAGGAAGCAGAAGATATCTTTTCTCCCTCTGCCCTCTCCCCTTTCCCCTCCGCACCATCTCCCTACGTCGCAGAAGGGACGTCTGTCGCCTCACTACTTCTCTGCATCTACATGAAGAGAACAAACTTACAAAGATACAGTTTCTGTTCTACTGCGCATCCTATCAGTGGCCATGGCCCGAGCCTGTGGTGTCTGCCCTCGCTTGAAGTAGACCGGCCCTTGACTCTCTCCAGCAGCATTCTCGCCCTGGAAGCAGTACTTGCCCGAAAGGTAGTTGAAGTTCGCGATAAATACCGCAAGGCAGCTGTGGCGTTCGCCGCATCCGGTGTATCGCTCCCTCACAACGCGGTCTTTGTAACGGCATGCGTCGTCTTTGCTGTCGGAGCAAATCCCATCTGCCCGGATGCACCAGCGAGTTCCTGACTTGAATGTGAAGATGCCAATGTGCGTGCAGCTTGGATCTCTGCGGCAATGGTTCATGCATGCCACCATACCTCTCGGTCCTTTGCCAACTGCTCGGATTTTCTTGTACTTTGCAAAACCGACTTTGCGTATCGCCCAGCACGTGTGGTCGCGGATGCTCAGGTTCTGTATGGAATGTGCCAAGACGGCTCTCTGACCGGACAGAGTCCACTCGTAGTGGCCGTAGATGTTGCATGTCATTTTCTTGGCTTTTTGTTGGGATCGGGCGAAGGTATGCTCAAGGTTCAGGTCTAGCGACAGTTCTGATATGTACTGCGCAGCAAAATGGATTCTATGCTCGTTGACTGCCATGGAGCGATCTCCCGGCGCACTTTCTCCTCATAGAGCGGCCTGACCGAATCCAGAGTCCGCGTCAAAGACTCTTCTGGACTGAATTGGAGGGCTCCGGTGGCGACGTCGAGGCTGAAGATCCTATGCCCTGCTGCATTGGAATTGGAGGGCTGAAAGTTTCAGACGGGGTTCTGGTTTTGTCATTGGAGATTTACGTAGTAGTTAGGGTTGGTTCTTGTTGTCCTAGGTCCTAGGTTAATGTATTATCATATAACACGTACCAGACGAGGAGTCCGTACATCGATGACACAAGGTCTCAACGACCAAAACTGTAGATTCCTGCGGTGCACCACCCGGGACCCAGTCTGGGAAACTTAGTGACGGTCGGCATCAAACAAACCATGTGGTTCACCTAAACAATGTCAGGAACTCTGTTTACGAATTATGCCGGTGCCTTGTTGTTAGGAGCCAAGAGGAATTGATGAATGCGTCCTTCAGTCGCGCCTGGGGGTGCACAGGGCGGTTCCGCAAACTACTCCTTTTTGCGGTGCCCGGGCTGCGTCCGACTACATCGGCCTCGTTTGCCCTCGGAAACGCTCAATACCTCGAACATCCGGCAAAATCCCGCCAGGCAAGATTTCGGGCACGGAGCGCCCAAAACGCTGAAGAGCCTCTAATCCCAGCAGGGCCAACCAGAACAATCACGCTGCTTCGTGGTCTGCTTCCTCGTCTTGCCAGTCCTGCCTGTCTGCTCGCCCCCCCCCCCCCCTCCCCCACGACATCGTGCTCCCTTTGGAGTACAATGCACATTTTGCCTGCGCCTCGACCAAACCTCATGGTTCCTCTGCTGGGTTCCTGGTGCTCTTTGTTTTCGCTTTTTTGTCGTCGTCGTGGTGATCCTAATGGTCCCGGATGTTTTGCCCTGGTCGTCCTGGCTGTGGTTGTTTGTTTTGTTGACTTCGTCGTCGTCGTCGTAATCGTGATGGTCGGGTTGTGCTCTTTGTGGTCGTCGTCGCGGTTGCCGTGGACTTCCTACTCTGCTTTGGCGTGTGGATGGTTGGGCATCTCCGCCGTCTAGGCTAGGGCTCGGGGTTTCAAGCCTAAAGCCACATGCACCGCTTGGCTTCCGACCTGCCCAAGCAGGAAATGAAACTAATGTACCAAGCGATGATGAACACGGATCGTGGCAAGGCATTCCCTCCTGCCCTCTTCAACCCGAGAAACAGGACCCCCAGGCAAACCCTAACCTGGAGGATTACAGTTTCCAGGTTTGGGGTTTGGGTAAAACCGAACACCTAAACATTACCCTCACCTTCACACCCCAACACACCAACGTCAAAGGTGCCTTCAAAAGTGGCCAGTCCGGTAATGGTGTCGAAGGCAAAGACGGATTCGTGCCAATCCGAATGCCTCGGCACACCGTGAGAATCCAGAGGACGGACTTGACAAGATCTTGCCTGCACTCTGCCAATTGCCCCAAGCTCTGCTTCTGCTTATGTGTCAGGCTGAGCGGTCAACAAACGATTCCTGAGTAGGGTTCAGGCAAACTCCGCCCTCAGGCCCACAGGTCTGAGTTACCAGTTAGTGCTGTGCCACCTGTGGTTTTCGAAGGCGGTTCTTCTTTTCGGTGGTTTTGGGTGTGGGTTTGTTGGGGGTGTCTCTCATGTCAGAAACAACTATTCATGATTGTGCAGCCGCAGATCCCAGTGCGGGTTCGGAAACAGGCATCAGTAGCAGTTCCACCAGATTCGAAGACCGATGTAAGTCTTTCTGCGCGACAAGAGGGCCACTCGTCAGCCGAAACTATCGCAGCACAGCACCGCGACTCCCCGAGCGTGGCGCTTGGCATAAGTCATTTATGCATTTTGAGGCCGGAAGATGCCAACTAGCAACTAGTTACTAGTTTTCTGCCTCGTAGCGCGTCAGGTACATACTGTCAGTGATGTGCTCAACGTAGCCGAGGCAACCCACTGTCTTTGCTGAATGCGAGCAGTTGTCGTGAGTTTCACAGGCACAAGCAGAACTCTGAATCAATCATTTGAGGTAGAGAGCGGGGGCCAGCCCCGCCACCCCCGTCACTCCTCTTCACTCACAACTAATACTACACGACCAGATGCAGACCCACGCGCGGTCCTGCTAGAATTGACTTGGCAAACGACATCAGTGAAACAAGCAGCATGTCAGCCAAAAGCCTGACCATGATAGTCCTGAGTTTCTGGCAGTGTTGTTATGTGTTGATCATGCGGACGACTATGGGGCAGCTGAGGCAATGGGCAAGCAGTACCGCCAGACGCCAGAAGCGGAGCGAAAACGCTCCAAAGAGAGAGGAAAAACAAAAAACTCCAAGCTGCGCTGAGATCTAAAGCCATAGCCTAGTGTCTTGGTGTCCTTCGTTGTCTTGGGACTCAGCCCCTGCTTACGCAACGTGATAAGTTGCAAGCTTGAGGACTTTGCACAAATTGAACGTCCGTTTACAAGCATTCAGCCCCACCCTCTACGTTCCAATGGCGAAGACACCGACATGATGCAGAGAACCGGGTCGGTGCTGTCGCATAGGGACCTTTTCGAAGGTTTGTTTTGAGGGATGGGATTTTGGGTTCAGGACTCACAGGCTTGTATTACGTTGTCCTTTCGCTTAAAGTTTCTTGATTCACGGCGGGAGCTGGGCTCAGGGAGTTAGTTTTGACGCTCACGCTAAGCCAGGCGAGGTCTGCCAGACGAAGGTTAAAGCGACGAGGGCTTGATATTTCGAGCGTTAGGGTATGCTTCACGCGCGCCTCCCTGCCCCTTGACTTGGAGAACCGGGCTCTTCTCACCCACGGTCACGTAAAGAGGACGCCCAGCGGCATAGGCATAGGACCTGGGCATATCGTTTTGTGGTATTTCATGAAGCCGTATGACTCATGAACTTGTGAAAGTTTGGTTTCAAGTTCGCAAGATACGCACAAGAGCATTCCCAATGCTGGTGCCACGGCCCTGCTGCGGTGCTCTTTGAGGTCTACCTCCGCTGACCAAACCGAGGAGCATGGATGTCCAGGGGACCGGCGCCAAAACCACCACGCTTGTGCTGCTCAGGCCCTTGCTAACCATGCAGGTGGCACCTTCGGCGAGCAGTGGAAACTTTATCTGAGGCAATTGGCAAAGGACTCTCTAGACTGCGATGCAGCCGCGCCTCTGTCCAGATACATGCCTTTCTCGTCAGTCAACGACGAGGCCTCTGTCGGGTGATGCAGCTTCCATTTTGGTGACCCTCCTAGAGCCGATTGTTTCACTATCGAACAAAGACGTTCTGTAGCGCACGATTGAAACCGGGACGCAGTCGACTCGGGTACAAGAGAGAGCGCCCCTGAAGTTTCATCGATCTTCAGCCAGGACGGCTCCGGAGCGCAAGCGAGCTTGAACCTTGGATTCCAGACTCACAGAGGTATCGGTATCAGAGCCGCCAAATCTGCGTCGGCTTCGAAAACTCAACCACGGAGCGGTGCATCGTCTGCCTTGATCGACGACCGCAATGAGGGCGTCACGCTCGAAACACCCTGAATGACAGGAGCTGAGACATTGCATGGGACCAAAAACATCCAAAACCTCACTTGGCTGAAGGCCACGACCAAAACATCAGCTGCCACTGACTGCATGTGTATATATATATATATATATATGTATGTATGTATGTATGTATGTATGTATGTATGTATGTACCTGTGTGTGTGCGCGTGTGTGTGTGTGTATGTGTGCATATATATATATATGTATATATATATACATATTCATATATATACCTATAACGTGAACTCATGGTCCTCGCTTTCCCCACCTCCAGCAGAACCACCGGACTGGGACCATAGCTGATGGCGCCCACATTCACGACAAGGCGTGTGGACGCAGATAATCCCTTTCCCTGGTGGGCGGTCACGATACATTCCACCTCAGGGTTTCTCGAAATTGAACATTACAGATCCACTTGAAGAGAGACGATGTGGGGTGTGCAGCTGGGAGGTTGACCAATAGATGCAACAGGACTGCAACACCGACAGAATGATAGACGACTCTCAGGAAGATTGCGATCGAAAATACGCATTTCCAGAAGATAAGGGCTTTGTAACGGACATATTAAACCGAAAAAATCGAGTTGAACTGTTGAGCTCTAGGTGGGAAATAGCTTCATATGAATCGTCCGACCTTTTGTGCTCTATAGTCTGACCTGTCCCACTTATTGAGAGCACGGGGAGACTCATCAAATATTTTCAAACGAGAAAGACGTGGTCAACTGGAAAATCAATTGCTTTAGCTTCGGTGAGTTCAATGCGTTGACAGACAGTCCTCTTGAGACATATATCGGTATATGTGTGTGTATATATATATATATATATATGACACTGCGGCGTTTCCAATTTTTTACAGTAAGACGGCATGTCAGAGCGAGGCACGCTCGGCATGCGCGCCGGGCGGTTCCGGGGCTCCCGCTGTGGGGACTCGTGATTCCTTGCAAGTTGGAGTACATTGGCGGAAAGTCCTGGTAGGGCCACACTACTTGGTCTCTCGGCTTCGTCCGTCTGGTCCTGGAAATCATTTCATTGGTCCTTGTTCTTTCCGCTTCCGCATAATGCAGTATATTTTAATGGGCGACGGGTGTAGACAGAGATGGGCAAAACTTTGCTGATCATGTCGGCGGTGGCTGGCTCTTGCAAGGGAAAGTTATCAACAGAAAGCTGCGAAATCGTGCTCCGGCCACAGCGCAGGGGTGCTTGAAATGCTTGTTGTGGGCATGCTGTAAGCCGCACGATCCGAACAGAAGCTTTGAGTGTTGAAGGTTTTGACGCTCACACTCGCACAAGGCAGGCAAGGCTCGACGTAGTCTATCGTATCTCCACTACACCATGCACGCAGCGCAGAGATCAACACTGCATTAAAGAGACGGCTAGACCCGAGACGGGCAAGAGCTTCAGAGAGGTAAAAGCATCAGGTAACGTCAACGTCGGTGACCCTGCTCTGCAGCATGAAAAATGACGGGCTCTCGTGGCAATGTGAAACCATCGCTCATGCAATCACAAAGCTTTAGGCTTAAGGGCTTACTAAGGGCAGTCTGGGCACTCGAAGGATGCTTGAACAAAGCCGCACGGCCATGAAGACTATGTTCTACATGATCATGACCACGAAGACAAGCACGTGCAATGCGCCGCTGAAACCGGACATCGCTACTCTCCCCCCAGCCCCCCGTGTGATGGACACTTGCGTGCTGTTTGACCCACGCATTCCTTACAACAGCCCACGGCACACAAACCACACCCATGTGAAATAGACGCTGAAATCGTTCTATTCTTTGCAAAAGTTCGGGGCTTCCAGGCGCTACGGGGCACCAGGGCGCTAAGGGAGCGCTGAGAGCGCGGAGGGTGTCTTGGTTTCTCCTGCTTGTCTCTTGGTGGCCTCCTAATGGTTGTCGTCCTCGTCGTTGTGGTCCTCTGGTCACAGTGCTCGTTGTAGGTGGTCTTTTGATGATTTCCTGCTATTTTCTGGATATGGTCCTGGTGGTCTGCTCTAGTGGTCTCTGAGCTGTCCCCTGATATCGTGGTGGTCCTCTGTTGGTCTCCCAGTGGTCCGCTGCCGCTGGAGGTCTCTTGTTGTCTCCTGCTGGTCTCTTGGTGGTCTCCTGGTTGTTGCTTGGTCTCCCCCGAAAGCTGCGGCTTTCTTTTAAACTAATTTATGCAGTACACGAAGTGCCTCCTCAGAGCTCCACAACCTAAAACTGGAGTGCTCAAATGCAAATGTAGGATACGCGGAATTCTTCCGAATCGGCGTCAATGCTGGAAAAACACAGATGGCAACTAGTTGCGACCTGTAGCGACCCACGGGCCCGGCGGTCGTGACTCCACAAAAACCAAAAGCCGAAAGCGTCGTACAGCACGAGGCCAGAGAGCCTGGTGTAAGGCCAAAGCTTCAACTCTAAAAGCCTAAGTTGGTTTCGCGGCCGAAAAAGCAAACCGACCAACTAACGAAGTGAGAAACGTAGGTGCCTTTTGCACCAAGTTTTCCGCGATTCACAGCACTTCGATTTTCGGTGTCGCTCGGATTGAAAGGAGTGAAGAGCCGAATACGTAAAAAAACATCCAATACTCTAGCCTCTTGCACAGAACATGCTGCAGCGGAACGCCACACGATCAATCGCGATCGGTACACCTAGTCGTAGCAGTAGTAGTAGTAGTAGTAGTAGTAGTAGTAGTAGTAGTAGTAGTAGTAGTAGTAGTAGTAGTAGTAGTAGAAGCTAAAGTCTCCGATCCACCCTGCTGGCGGGGGGGCGGGGCGGGGCTTGATCCTGGGAGGGTTGCTTCGCTGCTTCACGCCTCGATGGGGCTTTCCAAGCAGCCGAGAACCCCGCAGCCCTCGGCCAGCTTGAGCTTGCCCGTCTCGGGCTCCAGGCTTAAGCCGTACTTCACAAGCTCGCACTCCTCCACAGGGCGTAGTGCCGCGTCGGCTTGGCTTAGCTTCGGTGATTCTGGCTCTTTCCTCCGCTCTGAACCCGAAACCCGGCATCCGAGTCAAACTAATAGCCTTCGGCGATTGGTTTGCTCGGGCTGAAAGCCCCCATTTTGTGCCGAAGAGCCTGCTTGTGGGTTTTTCAAACAACTCCTACATCGCAAGGACGAGCCTGCATGGCAGAGTTGGTCAGTAGGATTTGCGCATACTTTCGACTCTCGCACTCGCAGCAGGCGAGGGTTCACGGCGACTGGTCTAAGAGGAAACGTGATGCAATGTGCATCCTTTAGGGACAGTCTCTCAGGCACTTCATTGAGTGTACAAAAACTACACGAGGCTTTGGGTTTCAATTTTTTATGTGCGGTGTCCCAGGATCTGAATCCTACATGTGACTAGGCCCAGCCCCACGGCTTCGTCGGGTGGACAGCCACTTCGGTCTTTGGGCTTCCTTTCTTCAGGCCTGAAATCGGGAAACACTCCACGAAATATACGAAACATCAAGGCCCGAGACCCCGAGACTGCAAAACAGTATCCTTTCTTTGCATCGGGACTTGTGCAATCGCCTGAAGGTCTGAGCACACGGAGGTTCAGCTCTCATGATCGCACTTTCCATGCCTTGCTCAAACTCGTCCTATATCCTAAGCAAAAAACCCTGTGCTCCAAATCAGTCCTTGTTCAAGGAATACCTGTGCGCCGTTCGAGGCAGTGGATGGCCAACTACCTCCGTCAAGCCCAGGGCCATGGGCGCCACGTAGTAGACGAACCTAAAAACTTTGAGTGGGTATACAGTTGCCGGTCTGAGGTTTGGGGTTGTTGGCGGTTCAGGGTCTAGAGAAATCATCATTGCATTTTTGCATCCTATCTCGCAAGCACGAACCTGTACGAGGGTGGTTTGAAGTCTGCTAAAGCCCTTCACCACTCTCGGAAAGATGGGCAAAGCTTGCAGTCGCCTCGGTCGCGTCAGCACACACGAGTCGGTGACCAATCTCTGCATTGACACCAAGGATGCCTTCAACATCAAGCCAAAATCCCGTGACATGAATTCCGAATACCAAAAGGAAGGACTTAGCAGCTTCCGTTGTCTCCTCACCTGCGCCTCACCTCTCTCCATCTCCAGCAGCCCACTAGTCACTATAGAAGAGATCCGGATCGGCTCGACAGTCTTCATTCCATTACCCCCGCCCACTCCCGCAAAGAACCCGAAACTCAAACTCCAACCTCCTGAGAACCCAATGGCAGACCCGGGCGGCTTTGTACCCTCGCGATGCCCGCCCCCACAGGCGCAGCACGCTTCCCGGCTGGAGATGCCCTGATAGGGCTCCTCAGTCTTGGTTCACGGCTTGGGTTTGGAGACTTGGGCTTCGGGCTTTTGAGAATTCCGCTACTACCTGATTGTCTGCCTTAGCCTACCCAAAAGCACTAAATCATGTTTGTGCTCGTACAGCTTTCTGTCGGGTTTGGATTGGTCCGCCTCACCCCGAAACCCGGTTTCTGAAGCACTTGGAGAATGTTCCGAACCCTTACCAGCCTTGCACAGAGCTTCACGTCGCTCCGGTTTGGATCCCCGGAATATTCCGAAAGAAGCAGCGACTGGAACACATTTCGCAAAACTGCGGACCCAAGCTTCGTCTGAGCAGTTCGCCTCGTAACAATTCCGGGAGCTGTTGTCCACCCACTGCGGAAAGTCCATGCAGGCGACGCAGGTTCCCGAGGCAAGGGTAAAACCTCCACTGCAGGTCTTACATGCACCCTCGGTTGGGTCCATCACCTCGCAACCTGCGCAGTACTCCTCGTGCACAGGACAGCATCCGAACTCAAAGGGATCCGCAGCGCTGTTGTCAACTTTGGGAGCAAACAGCCTGACGTGTGTGTCGGGAGAGCATTCGGATGTGTGACTCTTGTTGCTCCTGCTGTGTGTGGTCGCAGCAAGCTGCACCTGCCCAAGAGGCTGCCCACGGCAGAGTGGGAACGCATCCTTTTCGGGAGCAGGCTTTTGGAGCACCTTCGGCAGGTTGCCGGCGTTCGCATCCACATGCGAGGATGCTAAAGTCGCCAGCAGATGAGTGATGTGCTCCAGCTGTGTCTCCTCCGCCTCAACCTTTGCTTGCAGCTCCTGTTCAACGCTGAACTCTCCGCCCATTCAATTTACCTGAAACGCCTAACTAGAAGATTCCAAGACCTGCCTGCTTGTCACTGCTCTCGGTGGCTTGCCCTGCTTTGATCTGTTTGATCTCAGCCATGAGAGCCTGAAGTGCATGAAGCTATCTCATGTCGACGTGGTTTAGCACAGCAAGAGTTTCACCAACACATGATGCCCGGCGAGGCCCTGTGACCCTGTAGTACTACATCCTCACAACACTCATGGCAGCGTGGGCAGATCCAGTCCTTCTGCTCTTCGGCGTCTTTGGCTCGTGAAGCTTTCTCCTCCTTGATCTCACGGACCAGCTCCTCACATCTGACCCAAAATTGGCGCTTGTCTCGAGTGCAGTCTGAGGCTCCCCACCAAAAAACACACACAAACACACATCAACCAATGACTGTGGGCCTGGGCAGTGCTACTGCGAAATGCCATGTTTCCGGCCGGTTGTGCAGAAGCTTGCTAGTATGAGAAATATTATGCTGCAGTCATGCATGCGTGCCGAAATCGCTGGCTAATCTTACCAGCTCATCGGACGGGCTTTTCCCAATCTTGCTGGCGCCGGGGCTCACAATTTCTGCGGCTTCGTTTTCACCAATCGGTTAAACTTGGTACAGTAACCTGCAAGACCAGTCGGCATCATTCGCTATGGCATGTGCACGGGCCCCATTTCGGATAAGCCAAAAGACACTTTGGCATGGCATGGGACCGACAGAGTCCGGCTGAAGAGGGGCGGGAGGGAAGAGAAATGGCATGAACGACGGCTTTGCATGTAAGTGCGCCAAACACCATGCAGGAATAGCGTACCGGCAAACAGATGAATGATCCGTTGCGGTGGGGTCCTGCCTCAGCGGGCCCCACACACACACACAAAAAAATGTGGCACACCAAATCAGATGAATGAAAAATGTCCCTAACTGCCCGCGCCGGGCCCAGGGCGGACACATGCAGTTACGTTTGTTTTGGATGTGGGAGAGAACTTTATTGGGTAAGTTCCCTCGGCAACCGCTCCGCCCAGAAAGACAGATCCGGAGCTGCTTAGCAATACGTGCTAGCAATTGCGCACATACACACATACACATGCACTTCCAGATTGTCTGACCTTCGGCTTTATCGGCACACCCCCTTCGATCAAAACTCTACTTGGTGGTGGTGGTGGTGGTGGTGGTGGTGTGATGTCCGATGCGGTCCATGTGAAGCGTCCGGCGACCGGGAAGTTGATCTGGGACAGGAAACTCGACTGAAAAAGGTTCGACTCGCACACTCGCTCAACGCAGGCACTTGCTACCGCGACATAGGTACTCCCGGCAGCTGCAGGCGAACCAGGACAAATCACAGGATACAATAACGTACAGGGGATTAAGGCAGAGCGTGAAAAAAGTAGAGGGGGTAAATGCAGAGTGGGAGTAGACCCAGTCTGCACTGTCAGCAGTTTCCGTTGCACCTACAGCGTCCTCAGCAGGCATTCGCTTGGGATCGGATCACAAGACTACATCGATCGAATAATCAAAAACGTAAGCGCTAGATCCGTACATCACACTTTCCGACCCCTGCGTGTGATTGCCTGCAGAATTCGAACGACCGTCAGGGTCATCCTGTGGGCAGCTAGGCATTCCGACCCGACTGAGCTGTTTCAAAATTTTCAAGACAAGATCTCCACGAGGTACATTGTCATGTCACGTACTACGTACTACCCCAGGTCAGAGGCACTGCAGCGAAAGGGGTTACGGATCTGAGTTGATTGGATTTCACAATTTCGTGAATGTGATGATCGAGTTTTGGCAGCGGCGGCAGAAAGTGGTTGAGATGATCAGCATGCGATGTCGCAATGTAGTCGTCGCGATGACACGAACAAGGGCAGAGTCGAGGAAGGAGGTTCATGCTGGGCCACGGCGGGACGCAAAGCACCCAAGCATGGTGCCCCGAATCAGCATGCAAGACCATACAAAGCAGGCAGGAACGACAAAGAGAACTCCAAAGCAACAGCCCGACCTCCTCAGCCAAGGAGTGGTGCTCAGTTTCGTGCATGCGCACCGCCTTCGCCTCCTTCATCTCGGCATCGGCCTCAGTGACCCCGACCCCTTCTGGAAAGCCCAACACTGAGGTCAAGGTCTGGTTTACCACAACAGCCTCACCAGTCGCTGTTCCTCATAATCTAAAGCTTAATCGAAACGTTTGACCACTGGCCGGATGTGAGTCGCTGAGCTCTGTAAATGAACACTGAATGTGCACTCCAAGCCTTCTCGAGCAGCTTCGTGAGTTTCTTGACGGTGTTCTGTGTTTCCTTGCGCACCGACAGACGACGCACCAATGCTTGAAGGGCCCCGCCGCCGCCCTCAAAACCCAAAACTCCAAGTTCGGCCTGCTGTTCCACTTGCTGCTTGGCTCGTGCAGCCTTCTCCTCCTTGAGCTCCAGCAGCAGATCCTGGCTTTAGCCAGCGAGCGGATAGAATCACAGGCCAAATCGAAGGCCGCAGGCGAGTGCGCAGCTATTCATTAAAGCCACTCCCTACTTAATCATGACATGCCTTGCCACTCTTGGACTTTCCTAGGGAGGGCAGACTGCTCAGAAAACTTGCTCGATAAACTACGCGTGCAGAAAGGTGACATGGTGTCGGGATCGAGGGACTCATACGCTTACTGAGCAATCCACGGATTGGTCCAAACCTGGCTCACTGGAACAGACATGGAAGAGATATTGTGCCTCGCACGTCACAGCAAACGGATCAATCTTGGTCAACTCTTGCAACCCTGAACATTTCCCGCGATTGCGAACACAACAGAACACCTAAGTTTGGGACAAACTTTACATGGATCCACAGTCCCGAGCCTGTCGGGCAGCCCGCTCCTCCTCAGGATCTTGCACATGCAGTTCGATGACGTGTAAGAGCGATCGCTGTCGCTGTGCAACTGTCTGTTACCACGACTGCATAATATTCGTTTCCTGCCATGCTGCGCGGCATTGCCATTGCTTCACTCTTGACTGCTCTCTGCGCGAGCTTCTGGCCGAAAACGTGCTCTGGTTCTTCACACCCTCCCAACACCGACTCTGAAGCTGCAGCTAGAAGTGGCAGGTAGTATTGTAGTACAATGAAGACGATTCCATCTGAAGCTTCTGCGGTGTCCTTCTCCTCGTTTGCACGCGCAGCTCTCTCCTCTTGCAGCTCGCGCTCCAGACGCTCCTTTGGGGCTGGTGTGGAGAGGAGAGCTCCGAGGCGTGTGGTCTGCCGATCCTCCCCGGACTGTCAAACCATGACATATCCGAGCAAGAGATATTCGAAACACGTAGGGCTAGCCTGGCAATGACCGAGGCTTGACACTGCCAGCTCACCCTAGCCCAGGCCGTGCCGCTCTGTGGCTCGCAGACCCAGAAAGGCTGTGAGCCATGCATGGCAACTACAACTTGCCAACAGTGCCACAATCTATGCGCTGTAGCATCCGAAAGTTGATGCTGCTGGTGCCAAACTTGGTAAATAGCTTAAGGCCTGCCCACGTCTGTGTTGTGCGCCCGCAGTACTTCCTTCCCGCCCCAAGCAACCGTCACTTCAGCTAACCTTGCTTATGTCGGGATGCCTGCTCAGAGGTACCATGTGCTACCCCCGGCCCTACCTCCTTGCCGTGGAAGCCCGCTTGAACCTGACAGAAATAAATCGCAGCAGAGCGCCGGAGCCCGGAGCACGGCCCTTCCGACTTTGCATGCGGATCTGGGTCCCTGAAAGAAAATGTTCTCTTCAACACATCCATACCAGCTGTCCAGGAAGTTTCACCCTGCTACGAGTTCCATGACAGCGTTGCAACTTATTGCAGTGTCTTGCAACCCTGCAGCAAGTTTGCTGGGGATGCTTTCGCCTAAGCCACCATGCGACAAGTGCAATAGACGAATCACCCACATCTTTCATCGCACTTCCCTGAAGGTTAACCAGTATAATAGACATGAACAGGTTTCTCAATCTTTGAATCAAGAGAAGACGCCCAAGCAGGGGAAAGGGTCAGTCGGTTGAGAGACTGCAGAGACTTCGCAAACCCCCATACAAAGCAAACAGCTTGCCAGATGTCACAATGTCTCGGAGACTCTCAGTTGCCATGTGCAAGCCCTGAGCGGCAACAAATTCTAGAAATCTGGAAGCAGGTCGTGAAGAAACAGTTGTGAGCATCACCTGGAATGCACTTGCTGAATTGAGGGTGCGCACACACACACAGTACCGGCATCGCCATCTTTCATTTCGAGTTGCTCGACTGCCATGGCCATCCCATACTGGAGTAAGAAGATGCAGGGGTCATGGGGATTTTATGAGGATCCGAGCAGAACTCCCCAGACTGTGCTGTGCCTCCAGAAGGAGCTGCTTCATTGTATTTGTCGTGATGGATGCTTCCTGGCAGCTACACAGATGCAATGATGCAATGCAATTCCCGCGATGCACGATACCACGGAAGCGCACACCCCTGCGGACCAGTGAGGCGCCACCACATGTAGCAAGCTGCTTTGTGAAGCAACCGCTAAAGCTCGGCGACTGGGCATTTGGACAGACAGGGGGTGCCTCAGAAACCAAACTCAGGGCAAGATGCTACAAGCAGTCTGACCCGCTTTCCAGCACTGTACCACAAGAGGACGCCGTGTAGATGGCTCAATGAAACCGGAGACCTGCACCTGTGCTCTTCTGTTGTTGCGTTTGCCTTCCTGCGATGCAGCAGATGAATGCCTTGCAAGACTGACTTCTCGATTCAGTATCTATCATCCAAGAGCACCTCCATCAGCCAGTGCGGATGCTTTGAATACGAGAGTTCATGCCATGTAAGTGCCAAACGTGAGCTTGCTAAAGTCCGGTGCTACTCTACAGTAAACGTCAGTGAGGCGACTGCGTGAACAGAAACGTGTCCTACTGGCGTTAAGACAACTCCGTGTTACCACCCGCAACTCGCTCGACCCCACCTCACGCAGCAGTTGCTTCACAGCATTCCGGGAGTCGGATTGCTGAGATGCCTGGCTCCAAATGTCGGACAAACAGTTGAAGCAACTCTGCAGCAAAACGTTCAGGTTTCGGCACCCAGTTGCTTCAGTCCCCAGGGCACTAGCGATGCATCTTCAGTCTGCTGACATGCTGCCGCGCTTTGGCTCGGAGAAAACCCAAAGCTCTCAGTTTTCATTGCACAGTAAGCAACGAAACCCTTGCAGCCTTTACAAGCCACCAGTGACAGAAACACTTCCCAAAATGAGCATGGCAGAGGTAGGCTTTGAAGCTGGAACGTTCACAGTCGCGACCTCCTGCGCCAAGGTCTTCATTTCATCGGCCGCCTGGGAATCCTGCCGCAGAAGCTGCGCAACGGCCAAGTACCCCCTGGGGATATCCATTCGCTTCGCCTTTCCAGGCATGCCTATCTCCACATCTCCCTCGACCTCGAGACTTACAGTGCACAGATCAGCCACCTGCAGTGAGTGCAGCAGACCCCATCGTTCCTATGTCCTATGAGCTCTCATATGCTAATGTCCTGCGAAAGAATTCCCGACGAGCCGGAGGATCCCTCCTGCAGCGTTGAAAGCAGGCGCGTACTAGGGCACCACCAGCAGTAGCAATGCAACTTGGACGGAAGTATTGAAAACGCTGCAGTCCAAGCTTCCGCATCGTCCCGAAAGAATTTCCGTGCCGAAACAACCTCAGCAAAGTGGCTTCATATGTAGCGTAGCTTCACTTCAAGTTCAAGGACCAGTCCAAAGATAAAGCATGTCAGAGTCCATGGTCCTCGAGATAACCCGCAAAACAAGCAATCGAGGCTGGCGGTTAAAACTTGTTTGCTTCTATGCCTTAGCGCCAGATCCGTTTGGGGCGATTTGCATGGTAGGGCTGCCCCACTGCACATCACGAAACTCCTGACCACAAGACTCATATGCCTTTCTATCTCTCCTTTGGTAAAGCCTTTAAACTTTAATCAGCAAAGCCAAGGCGCGGAAACCAAGAGCAGGACGCTCGGCAGGACGTATTGCTTCATAGGCGTTGAGAAATATGGTATTGGAAGCTTGCAGGGCCAGCAGACCCACTCAACAAGCTTGAACCACAAGGCCCTCCAAGACCACACTATGGAATGGCGAGGCGCAGGCAAAAAGAAGTGCTTCCGTTGCTGCACACCCAAATCGCACAACATGACAAATGCAGGCGAAGTAATATGTGAACGGATGAGTTTTTTCGTGTGCACATGCCAACCTGCATTCGGACTTTCTAGCAAAAACGTGCGCTTGCAATCTGGCAAAACGAAAGCGGGTACCAGTTGAAGGTGTCTCGGAGAGGGTTCAGCGACTCGGCGCTCGAGGTTGCCAGCTCAGCAATTAAGCAAAAAGTCCTGGTATATACTAGTGCATTCTGGAAAGATACTAAAATGGTATGCTCTGGTGGTTGGAGGCTCTCCACTCGGTCATCACCCGGGACATGACATGAGGTGATACACTGTTTCGTATGAAACCGACCCCGTTGCCGTGATGACAGACTTTCCGACCCATGCCTGAACCGCACCCTGTAAGTTCTTGAACAACTTGCATAGGCCAACATTACTGGATCAACCGGGGAAACTGAACATCGACTCGCAGCACCGCATCCTTAAGCAGATCACCTGGCTCTGCGATCAAGCTCCGGACTGAAAACAAAGGCAAGCAACAATCCGCAACAGTTGGCCTGAACTTTGCTGGGTTGGGATTCAGCAGCGGACAGACACTACGCGAAACAGCAAATTTTCCGACCGTTCATGTACCTGCGCATGACAAATCAGGCGGCAGAAGTGCACGAAGGGGATTGCCCAGGCGGTGGTTGTGGCACATAGAATCAAGCGTCGCCCCCATCACCAGCATGGCATAATCTGAAGTTGTGAGAAAATCCAGTTTGCAACGTTGCAGTCATCGCAGACCCCCTATCGACTGCATCTGTACTGTTCCTTCGTATTTCACATCGTGGCCCAGGTTCGAAACTCGATTAGCGACGATGAGGCTGCCCTAGCTTTGAATGCTGTGCCGGGTGGCGAAGATGATGAGATCTGGCAAAACGAAAACGGGTACCAGTTGAAGGTGTCTCGGAGAGGGTTCAGCGACTCGGCGCTCGAGGTTGCCAGCTCAGCAATTAAGCAAAAAGTCCTGGTATATACTAGTGCATTCTGGAAAGATACTAAAATGGTATGCTCTGGTGGTTGGAGGCTCTCCACTCAGTCATCACCCGGGACATGACATGAGGTGATACACTGTTTCGTATGAAACCGACCCCGTTGCCGTGATGACAGACTTTCCGACCCATGCCTGAACCGCACCCTGTAAGTTCTTGAACAACTTGCATAGGCCAACATACTGGATCAACCGGGGAAACTGAACATCGACTCGCAGCACCGCATCCTTAAGCAGATCACCTGGCTCTGAGATCAAGCTCCGGACTGAAATCAAAAGCAAGCAAAAGTCCGCAACAGTTGGCTTGACTTTGCTGGGTTGGGATGCAGCAGCGGACAGACACTACGCGAAACAGCAAATTTTCCGACCGTTCATGTACCTGCGCATGACACATCAGGCGGCAGAAGTGCACGAAGGGGATTGCCCAGGCGGTGGTTGTGGCACGTATAATCAAGCGTCGCCCCCATCACCAGCATCATCTGATGTTGTGAGAACGTCCAATATACAACGTCGCAGTCATCGCAGTCCCCCTATCGACTGGCATCTGTTTCTTCGTATTTCATATCGTGGCAGCAGATTCGAAACTCGTCATGACCGATTGATCTAAGCACTGTCACCGAAGCGTCGATGAGATCCTGCTGAAAGGGCTGCCCTATCTTTGAATGCTGTGCCGGGTGGTGAAGATGATGAGATCTCGCAGCCATTTTCTCGCGAGAGCGGAGCATGGTCAGCCTGCTCGGGCCGGAACCTCCAAGAGTCAGAGTCCATGATTTTAGAAAGACTGCGTATCGCTCGAACTGCATAAATAGCCATTCCACAGAGGCCCCAAACCGATCACGGACCCTTGGAGGCTCTGGTTTCTACGCAGACGATGTACTCGGGATAGACGGCCGCACCGTCAAAGACCACGAACTCACGATGAAACTGCTGGCCGTGTGGATGGCCCTTCATGGCGCCAGCATTGGCAATGACAGAGCAATGGCCCTCCGGACCTGGCTTCCTCGTCAGGGCAGTCAACAAGTAGAGATGCTCGATTGGTGTAGTCGTCCTAGACGCGGGAAGTAGCAGTAGTAGCACTGGCAAGTGTTGTTGTGACTTAGCAGTCGCCGTCATCAATAACACGGACGGAGTTGTGGTTCTTCCTGTGAGGCATGACAGTCACAACCGAGGCTAATGGGGTGGGAGCACCACCCACCCATAAGCCTGAACAACTTGCCCCATGTAGGCAAGTTATCCTAATCGTTCGCAACATGATGTTGGGACTGAGTCCTCGATCCTCTCAAGTTGAAGTCGAGCTGGCCTTCTTAGCAAGACAAACTTACGCTGAGATTGAACAAACAGTACCAAGCTCTGCAGCCACACCGGCTGAACCAAGGCCCAATGCTCTTTCAAACAGGTTTCAAGACCCGCCAACAGGATGGTTGAACATGGCTTGAAGTTCGATGCTGAAGTCAAGGTGCGTGATCTTGTCAAGTGCCACCACTGCCGTCGGTCGCGCTTCTGGCCTGCTGAGTCCTTTTAAAGGTTTGCACGCTCGGGCACATGCGGCTTTCGGAATCGTGCGGACATTCGGCGTTTGAAGCTCTTCTGTTCTGGGTTTGCGGTTGTCGGCCTACGGAAAAAGCAGCACGGGTACCGAATCAAACCGCACACTGGAGTCCGGTAGTTAGCTACCGTGAGCATCAGTCGAGTCGAGGGTTTTCTGGTTCTCTGTGAAGCTCACGTAGGAGCTGAACCGAATTCCTAAACGCCTGCCCTTTGAAGGCATCAGTGACATAGGTACAACCCAAAAACAGAACTCCGGAAACCCTTTGCCAACAAACCCTCAGGTTCCAAAGCACGCAACCAGAACACTGTCAGTCAGACTTCACTCCTCATGCTGGCCGCCACCACGCTCAGTGCTTTGCATTCCTGGTACGAACACAAACGAGAGGGCCGTAGAGAGCGGAATGCAGCCCTTGCAATCGCTTTCAGAAATGCTCTCACACGCAAAGAGTATTGCTAACGCCTGCCTGGCTGCAGGAACGATGTTTAGATGGTCAGGACTCCCTTGTGGGCGCAGCTGCCGGTATGATGCAAACGAGGAGGAGTCCAATGAAATCCGGGTGCCTGGAAGATACTGTACTGCAGCAACAGCGACAAGTCAGCTGAAAGAGAGAAGAAAAACGGGCTCCTTCTCCATCAAAGGCCAGCGCTCGGCCCAGTGTTTCAGAATCCTGGTTTCGGGGCTCAAGCCAAAGCGTAAACAAGTTCCCAAAAGACTCGCTCTGGGGAGGATTGGACCCCCAAGCCCAGGGGTTGGTTCATTGAGCCTGACTATATCTACTTCCAATAGTTTCCGGCCTCCAGCCATGAACTAGGCACCTTACAATCCCAACATCTCAGAGGGCCGAAGACTAAAGCGCAAGAGCAACAGGTGGGCCACATCACGAATGTCAGAACAAAGAATACACACATCTCGCCTGAAAGCAGCTGACGGTTTTCAAACATGTATGTTTGCTCTGCCTCTTTACCGCTGTCGGAAAGAACTACCGGAACTACCAGGATCCGTCGAAGTATGGAATGGTTCATCGTTTTCGCGACCACGAGTTTCTCAACCCTGCCCGGTTGTCAAATACGGCTTGTTCAGCTTAGGTACGTGAAATACAGCAGCCCTGCTTGAAGCAGCGATTGTGAAACGGCGATCAGGATCTTGAGAGCCTTCGCATATATTGCGATTGCCATCATTGTATACTGTATAACCGACTATCCTTTACACACGCCTGTGTGACCTCGGCGGCGGTCAGCAAAGCGGCTGATCGCAGATGCAACCCAAGGAGTAGATGTCTGACGCCGCCGTCAGCTTTGGGAACTCCGGAGCCATGAACTCCTGTTGCCACAGTTCTCCGCTGAAGCTTCGCTTAGCATGCCTGGCTTCTTGCTGCAGGTTCAGTTTTGGCTAACAAGACAGCAGCGCGAGTAAAGGCTACAATAATCGACGAGCTAGTAGCACTGGTTTAGACAAATCATGCTGACTGAATGAAGGAAGCAATCTATTTGCAAGCACCACAATCAAAGGACTGACAATTGTGATATCTGGTATGTTCAAGGTTGGGGGAGCTGTTGGGGTCGGGTTTTGCGGGTTCACACGCTCTCAGGAAGCCACGGGGGGCATTGTAATTACGGCGCGCGCAAACGGTGAACCCGAAAATTGATCACATTCCTCTAAAGCTGGTCATATGCAGCAGTTTTCGGGTTGGAACCTAAGCCTCAACTCTGTGCAGAATGGTCTGGCTATAAGCTGCCGACATTTTGGGATCACGCTTTCTCCGCTCATCCACTCAACTCTTTTAGTTGAATGTTGAGTGACGCTTGGCTGGCAACCTTTGGCCAGAAAAGGAGGGTGCATTCAAACGGGCCGTGGATAGACGTAGAACTTGTGGTTGTTCGGATTGATCTCTCCCCTTTCGATGTGAGGGAAAAAGCCAAGATCCCCACAAACGAGACCACCGGAACCGGGGAAGTGACAAATCTCTGGACTGCTGCCCATCCACCAGTTGTAGGCCTTCCGCGCGATGTGCCCTTGTGCAAAGCGGAGTTTGACCTGACCATGATAGATACGCTTCAAACTCATCCCATGCTATCCAATGTTTGGTAACGATCTTAGAATCTACCTATTTAGCTATTCTTGCCCCTGCCTGAACAAGCTTGCCGTAGCAAACAGCTAAGTCATCCTCTTCGTTCCATCTTCCGCAGAAGTGTGACAACTCAACACAGGGCCCCCCCCCCTGGTGGGCCTCACGCTTCACGAAGCCGGCCCCACGCCGAAAGCGGAAGGTGGCCAGGCCCTCGAAGGCGAAATTCAGCTTCTCAGGGATCTGGTCACCTTTTGGCGTAGAGAACTACAGCCCTAAAAGCTCTAAAAGCCCTTAAACCCGAAACTCTGGGATCTGGGTCTGTTCAGAATGCACCAGTGAAGTACAGTTTTGCAAAGGAGAACGTGGAATCAAGGGGTTACTGTTGATATCTTCCTTCCGTTGTTGGGAAACCACTCAAAGGTGGCCTGAGGATTAAGTCTATGGCCTTAAGCTGTATGCTGTGTACCCCAACAACTGCTGGGAAACCAATAAATCTGAAGGTTGGGTGCGAGCTACCATACTTCAAAGCATCGCTCTTCAGGATGCTGCCCTTATCCGCGCCGGACATAAACTCATCGCGCACATCCTCAGATGACCACCGGCCCACCTTGAAGGTCAGGCTTGTCCACGTTGATGTGACACAGTCCTTCCGGATCGGCTGCCCTGGTGGAAAGGCATACCATTGGGGAGTAAAATGCACAGAGTACAAGGTTGCCCCCCTCGTCCCTTCAAACTGCAGCACATTGTCCCAAAGGGTCGTCCCGCTGTCTCCGACTTCTGGTGCACACAATCCATCTTTCGCATACTTGCGATGGCCCTTCGTAGAGTTCACCACCAGCAGTGAACAGTCCTCATCCGCTGCGACCACCAGCAGGATAACCGCCCAATGTCCGACAGAGAGCATCTTGGTACCACAGACCCCGGCTTTGAGCCAAGAGGACTCGCACAAAGTGAAGACAATTTTACAGTGTAAGTCAGTCACAGGCTTCAGTAACTGCACCTGACTGCCAGTGCATTCCAGACTTTAGTCCCGAAGCCAGCGTAGGAGACATCTTCGTCGAAGCACAGAAAATCATTCTTAGGATTCTTCACATAGACTTTTCATCGCAAGCAGCAGTACAGTACCCGTTTATCGGCAGTTTTGCTTTGTCCCGTCGTGGGGCTTGGGGCCGGAACGGACGTGGACAAAGGCCCTCAAACCTACTCAATATCTTAGAACCATTCGTGTTTCCATGACAAGCTACACGTCATCCTGAAGGCCTATCGGTAAGCCATGCGTCTGACATGCCAAAGCCCACACAAACTTCTTGTGTGTCAGGGTATGCTACGGTCGTCTGCAGTTTGCACAACCCCGGTAGCTGCGCACTTCTTCGTTTCACGATCTTCATGGCCTTCTCACCCACCCAGTCTGATGCCAAAGCCCAGTGGTTTCAACGCCGAGATGCTGGGGTTGCACCGACCAGGACCGTCGTGGCACGGGAGCTCTGCGCATCGGTGCACTGACCTTGCCTGGAGGTCGAGGGTGCTCCGGTTGCTAGCGCTTCTTAGTAACAATGACACTAAAGTACTTGATTCGGAAAGTTGGTGAATCTTAATGGTTTAGGGTTTCTGGAACTCCCCAATGTTCTGGCAACCGTCGAGGCCAGAAGCCCAACGTAGATCCAAACCGCAGATTGCAAGCCCAAGTGCGGGCTTGCAGGAAGCTTCCAGGACGACATTTCCAACACTATACCCAAAGACCATGCCAAATGTCCAGTCGTCCGCTTTCCGATCGCACAGTCTTCGCTCAATCATCCCAGTCTTCCCAGCACCGAGCAGAAAAAAGCTGCACAAAGGCCTGACTAGAAAATCACCCCATTTCCGATTGTTTCTCCCTCTCAAGTTTCCCACGGAACCTGACTTCAGCTCAACAGGATCCGACACCCAAAATCGTTTTCAGGCCGAGCAGCTGGTCTCGAAATCTGTGAGACAAGGACGGTCGCGGGCGTCCATGAGGAAATTGGTGGGCTTCAGGTCCTTCAGCCATACATCTCGAACAATGGAAAGCCCAAGACCAACAGCGATGAGAATGCCAAAGATACCAACGAGAACAAATAACACCAGAACGATGGCCGACAAACTGCACTTCCGGTTTCGGCACTTCGGCTGCTGAACCGACTGCAATCATTTGCCGTGCAGCTTCGGGTTTTAAATCACACGTAGGCCTATGCTTGTACATCCCAACACCTGCAAGCACGGGGGCCGATGCCAGGTCTTCGGATTGTAGGAGGAGGGGCTAGGGCCTGGGGTTGCAAACTTCCAAACCAACGCCCCTTTTGTCCCCAGACTGTCAAGAAGCCGCACGAAGAAAACAACTCAAAGCACAAATAAGTTCCCACAAGTTTCGGTCTAGGGGGGATTGTGGTGCCAGGCCCTTAGTTCTGGACCCCCAAGCCCAGAAATTGGTTCATTGATCCTAGTTATACCTAATTCCAATAGGTTCTGGCCTCCAGCCGTGAACTAGGACCCAACATCAAGCCAACAAATGCGTGGTCGGGACGGGGATCTCGACAGAAGCGCAAGAGCAAAAGGTGGGCGACATCAGGAGTTTCAGAACAAGGAAAAATCCACCTGAAAGTAGCTGACGCTGCCGCTGTCGAAAAGAACCAACGGAACTACTCCGAAGCATGGAATGGTTTATTGTTTTCACGACCACGAGTTTCTCCACCCTGCCTAGTTGTCAAATACAATTTGTTCAGCATAGATACGTGAAATACAGCAGCCCTGCTTGAAGCAGCGATTGTGAAACGGCGATCAGAATCTTGAGAGCCTTCGCATATATTGCGATTGCCATCAATGTATACTATCACCGACTATCCTTTACACACGCCTGTGTGACCTCGGCGGCGGTCCCGGTCAGGGGAACTTTCCTCCATGTTCTACACACAGACAAGCATGGCTGAACAACAACTCGAAGGGAGAATTCGGATGGCTCTGGCCCGGAACTTTCCTCCACGTTCTACACACGCACAAGCATGGCTGAACAACAACTCAAACGGAGAAATCGGATGGCTCTGGCCCGGAACTTTCCTCCACATTCTACACACACAAGCATGGCTGAACAAAAACTCGAAGAGAGAATTCGGATGGCTCTGGCCCGGAACATTCCTCCACGTTCTACACACAAACACACACACACACACACACACACACAAGCATGGCTGAACAACAACTCGAAGGGAGAATTCGGATGGCTCTGGCCCGGAACTTTCCTCCACGTTCTACACACACACACACAAGCATGGCTGAACAACAACTCGAAGGGAGAATTCGGATGGCTGTGGCCCGGAACTTTCCTCCACGTTCAACAACTCGAAGGGAGAATTCGGATGGCTCTGGCCCGGAACTTGCCTCCACGTTCTACACACACAAGCATGGCTGAACAACAACTCGAAGGGAGAGTTCGGATGGCTCTGGCCCGGAACTTGCCCCCACGTTCCACACACGCAAGCATGGCTGAACAACAACTCGTAGTGAGAATTCGGATGGCTCTGGCCCGGAACTTTCCTCCACGTTCTACACACAGACAAGCATGGCTGAACAACAACTCGAAGGGAGAATTCGGATGGCTCTGGCCCGAAACTTTCCTCGTTCTACGCACACACGCACACACAAGCATGGCTTAACAACAACTCGAAGGGAGAATTCGGATGGCTCTGGCCCGGAACTTTCCTCCATGTCCAACACACACACAAGCATGGCTGAACAACAACTCGAAGGGAAAGTTCGGATGGCTGTGGCCCGGAACTTTCCTCCACGTTCTACAGAAACACAAGCCTGGCTGAACAGCAGCTCGAAGGGAGAATCGGATGGCTCTGGCCCGGAACTTTCCTCCACGTTCTACACACACACACAAGCATGGCTGAACAACAACTCGAAGGGAGAATTCGGATGGCTCTGGCCCGGAACTTTCCTCCACGTTCTACACACACAAGCATGGCTGAACAACAACTCGTAGTGAGAATTCGGATGGCTCTGGCCCGGAACATTCCTCCACGTTCTACACACAAACAGACACACACACACACAAACAAGCATGGCTGAACAACAACTCCAAGGGAGAATTCGGATGGCTCTGGCCCGGAACTTTCCTCCACGTTCCAATTACACACACACACACAAGTGTGGCTGAACAACAACTCCAAGGGAGAATTCGGATGGCTCTGGCCCGGAACTTTCCTCCACGTTCTACACACACAAGCATGGCTGCAAACAACAACTCGAAGGGAGAATTCGGATGGCTCTGGCCCGGAACTTTCCTCCACGTTCTACACACACACACACCCAGGCATGGCTGAACAACAACTCGAAGGGAGAATTCGGATGGCTCTGGCCAGGAACTTTCCTCAGAGATCTACACACACAAGCATGGCTGAACTCGACAAGTATGGGTGGCAATGGAAACCCATGCTTGCCGAGTCAAGACACTGACGGCTCGAATTCCAAGCGCTTGAGCACGGATCGCACCTTGGAATGCGCGGCTTTCGCTTCGATTGAGCAAAGGGGGGTTTGGTGGTGCTTTAAGTTGGGATGTCGATGCCGTGGCACTCTGCACCGTTTGGAGCTGAACAATCACCATTTGGCGTAACTGGTCTCAAACCTTTTAGGTTTGGCTTCGGGGTGATCGTGCCATAAGCGTACGTGATGCTCTCCTCGCCTCAGAGCATCTTGGAAGTATTCTTGCTCCTTATCAGACCAGGCTAATTCTGCAGAATGTCATTTCTTGCCGTTGTCGCTCCAATCGTTTCCAACGGTTGTAATTATCAGTACGGTTTGCAACTACGAGTGTTGACATTGCGGCAGGTATTGAGGGCCCTGCACTACATTCACTACGTACCAAACCCTGAAGTTTTCCGGTTTCATCTGCGAAGGGGTCTCTGAGTTTCTTCCAAGATGCTAAAGGAAAGAAGACGTCGCGCTCTTCCTGGGAATTCGGATTCGCGAAGTTTCCTGAGCGTGAGGAAGGGAGGGGGCCCTGGAACAGTGCTTTATCCTATACTCTTACTATACTACAGACCATGCTAAACTGTACTACAATCTCTCGTGCCCTACAGTTGCTTCGGGTGGAAGCTTCCAGCGCACTGACCCCCAAGAGCACGGAAGGCTGCAGAATATGACACTTGGCCACAGGACGGGAGGAGATGTCATAAGGTGCGCACGTGCATGCTGGAGTGTAAAATCGAAGAACATAGATAATGAATCCATGCCATCACCTGCCAAGAGTCAGAATGTTTTGGCGAGGCAGCTGTCATCACCTGGGAGTTGCACAGGAAAGGCGGCATATCTCATTCTTGGACTGTGTTGGAGTGCTTCGCTTCGGAGCAGTTCACGCAACTGAGTGCGACAACGGCCCTCGGAGCAGTGAGCTGCGATATGCTGATCTTGGCGTTTCAGTAGCTACAGAGCAACGGAAAGGACAATCCTGGAATTAGGAACATCAGCTACCCGCATTGTAAACACTTCGGCCATTGCCCCCGTCGCCGAGCACCTGTCTTAGCCATGTCTGTGCGAGCTGGCGAGTGCAAGGCAAACTTCGTAAACATAACGGGGCTTCATAAGAAGGCTTTTAGCAGACTTACAGATAGGATGGCCCCAATTCGGTACTTCGAAGGCTAGTTGGAAAGCTGCTTCCCCAAGCCCCTGAACAAGACGCCATGAACGAACCAGGGCCCAGGGCTTGGGCTTTGAATCCAGCCGTGGGGCTCATCCTTTGAATTTATCCCAATGCAGCCAATTTGGCATACCTCTGCGGGTGCAGCGGAGGCTGCGTCCTGGTCCCGGTGTGTCTTGGGGCTTGCAGCATCAGTTCATCTGGCTTCATTCCACATGAATATATATATATATATATATATATATATATGGTAC